AAAAAAAAAAAAAAAAAGTGAAACTTGGGAATGAACGTGGTCTAACTCTGACAATAAATGGCATGGTTTTAAACACAGCGACACTGATAACGATGTCTGATAAAAGATAGAAAATCACGCGTGCTTGTCGTGTCAGGAAATTTGTTGAAATTAATTTTCTTGATTGCCAATAGCAAAACCACGTTTCATAAAATAGGCGCGAATATTTAACGAGTATTTAAAGTGCTTTCACTTTTCACGTTGAATCTGATATCTTTTAGGTTCGTTTACCGAGGACTAATTATTCACGAATTCCGTTTCGTTTAATAAGTGCAAACGATTAATAAAGCAATTTAATCCTTTATTCTCTGAAGAATGTGCATAATTAAACTCTAGGGTCGTTGTACGTACAATCGTAGAATCGTTTCAATTTTTCTTGCAGTTAGAACAATGAGAGACTGATTTCACGAAGTGTCTATTATGTCTACACGAAACTGTTCTACACGCATACACATATGAACGTATATTTTTTTTAGTATAGCATAATAATTGAAATGAATTCTGAAATTACTGTAATATCTTTTTATCTCGTCATTTCAATTCTCTTCTTCCAACTTTCTTTCTCAAGATGAAACTTACATAAAAAACGCGTATTCGTCGAGCGTGCTTGCGTACATATTGCACAGCGTGTCGAAATACGTGTGTAAATCTTGCGTGTAGAATATATAAAATAGGGGAAGGTACGAGGCAGAATTGATTCGATTTAATTAGACTGTAAAATTAATCGGTTCGTCTAATAATAGGACTTAATTTAATAACAGACGAGATGTCCCGTGTATGTTGCTTTGTCTACTAAATTGGGAGCAAAATGCAAATTTCTATAATAAGAAAATCTCTTCAACGATTTTCATGAGTTGTTAACAAGCAGTTTATTACGTTTTCTAATTAGCGTTTAATTATCTTTGTGTAAAAAATTGCCGATGAAATTTATAAAATGTGTACTGCGTTATTATCTGTATGCGTCTTCGTTACGTTTTTTGGCCAGTCGCTAGAGCGTAATAGTCCATCGTAGTAGACTGTTATTGAAATTTAAAAACTTGCTTTCCCAACTCAATTGCCGATGGACGAAGTTAATTAGCCCGACTAGATAAAAAGATTGAAGTAACTCCTGTTCTTTTGTTTGTGACAAAAATTGCGTCGTATAAGTCATATATTAGAAAAAAAAAATGCTTCTAATTGGTCAAAAGAAAAGGAATGCGCACGATTATTACAAAAGGTTACAAACGAAGGTTACAACAAAGTTACATTGTATACTTAGTGGAATTAAAGAATCGAATTTGTTCGAAGATCACTTTCACCCAATGGGACTTAATGCCGCGGTCGCTCGTTCGTATGTACGCAGCAAGTTGATCGTTTAAATAAGGCGCTAATGATAGTCTGTTTCACGTTGATAAATAGGAAGGACGTTATGCCGTAATGCGACAGTAACAGAACCTGTCCTCTAGGAACTATTTTATCAGAATTAAAGAGGAGAAAGGGAAAGGGAGGAAGTAAACGTAATAAACAATGAAACGTTCATTAACGAGACACGAGCTTGGTTAGAGACTTAAAACATATCTAAAAACGTAGAAATTCGCAAGATATTCAACGTTTCGCGAAAGTTACAAAAATATTTAAACATCGTGTCTTCCTTCAATTCAACGAACCTTGACCAGTCCAATTTTTAAGGCGTTCGTTGTAAAGAGAATATTGTCTGAATACACGAGAAACTTTTTTTCGAATTCCGAGTCTTTTGCGATTCTCGAAAGCAGAGAGATGTATGATTTTGAAAATGGGTACGTGGTGAAAAATAATAGCTAGGGCTGTCGAAGTAGAGCGCTTATCGCGCTTTGAAATGACAGCAATTGTACGACGGAATTACAATAAAATCGGCATCGTGCGAGTACTTTCGTGCTCCTCTGCAGACGACGTAACACAGAAGTGGCGACGGAAATTTCGCGGGCCCCGCGAAAGCGAGGTCGCGGGGCCGTTCCTCCCGTACGCATAGAAAAGGCCGTGGCTGTTGTTCAGTACCGATCGATAGATCTCAAAGGAGAGATGGCGGCTGCATCGAGAAATTGGAAGCCATGTCGGGAACGCGTTGGAAAGCTGTTGCCGGGAATGTCCGTTGGCCTACTGACGAACAGGAGAAAGGAGACGACAACGATGGGAGGAGACGCACGGGACAGCATCGCAGGAGAAACGAGCCCTGGCCGCGTTATGAAATCGCGGGATTCTTTTTTTCATGCGAATCGAAAATATATGTATATATATATATATATATTCGTGGCTCACTCGAAACGTATTCGAACGTCGACCACAGAATGCTCTTCACGCGTGTGTATCTCTCTCGTAAACCGTCGTGGAGTTTCATTAACGTCGCAATGAGACACCACTGACGATGATGATTAACATTCATTATCAGTGGAAGCCGGAACGAATCAGAAAATGTACGTGGAGATTTATCGCGGATGCAAGATTATTAGGAAATTAGGAAGTGGCGTAAACTTTTTCCTATTTCACGTTATTAGTTTTATCTGTCTGATACGACGAACTGGTATTTTTCAACATTAGAAATTTGCTAGAGAAACTCGTCTTGAAAAATTAGTCTCAGCTGAACAGGGGCGTTTGACATTCGGTCCGATACGTATGCCAAACGTTTAGGTATTATCGACGTTTTGAGGGAAGGATAGCAGGAGTTGTAACTTGTTAAATCAACTTGTTATTTCGCCTTCAGATATTTTGCAACTGCCAATTAATTTTCATGCCCGGCGATTTCAATCGCTTACCGTGCGTACGGTTTCACGGACGATCTTTCAACAAACAATTTAGTTCCGAGTAATTATCTTGCCGTCAGTATTGCGACAATCGTGCGTTACGGCAATATATATTTTTTTTTTTCTTCTTCTTCTTACAATTCACTCGCAATACTATATTTGAATTTGTAATTAATTTCCCCCGTTGCAACTTTCTCGCTCGTTCCCCCCCGACATTACAAATCATTTACATCCACGTTACAAATAACCTTTCGCGTTTTACGTCTGACGTGTGGTTATTATGTCATTTGCGCCTGATTTTTCTATTAATGCATAGCAATTAACGAGTCGCCCATTTGTCGGCGGCTTGATACCTAGCTGGCAAACGCCACTTATCCAACACTGGTTATAAATGAATTGAAATTTACTCCACAACTGCAATTCTGTTTCTATTTCGTATTGAAAGGAAAGATACACGTCTTTCTTTAAAATTGACTTGTTTTATCGTTCGAGCTTGTTGCAGAAAATTTGCTACAGAACGTGACTATTCTGATTATATATTGGGAAAATTTCGAATCAATCGTTGTTCTATGAAGATAACTAACGTATTTTGAAGAGCAAATCCTTGTCCCCTTCGTATTCATGACTCGTAACACTTGATGGAGGTGAAAAGCAGTTGAAACTTGGTCATAATTATTTTTGAACGGCTCGGTCCTTTATACTTTATATAATGTATCGCTTCGAAACTCTTTGTTACAACTAGATTTTCATTCAGGTTTCGTTCAATTCAGGTTTTCATGGTTACAATAGTCATGATAAATGACTGAATACGCATATTATTTTCTTTTCAATTCTCTAGGACAACCGCGGGCTACAAATGCTCGACGAATTGATTATGAATGGTTGAAGAAGAGGAAAAATATTGAAGCCCGTGAGAGAAAGTTGCAAGCATCTGACAAAACTGGTGTTTACATATGTATACATGTATGTAACATTTTCTTCCGTATTGAGAACCACTTCGTCGCTTCTCAAATGGAACGTGGATATTAATCACGCGAATATCGATTAAAAACAATTATTAATTAGAATGTGAAATGAAAGGAACGACAGAAATCATCAGACACAAACGTATATTATATTATATAATAAACGTAACATTAATGAATAATTATTATTTATCAATAGACACACTCGATACGTGAAATTTTAGAAGTGATAAAGGATACTTTGACGCCTTCGATATTTGTTCGACAAATTCGAATTGCCCTTTATAAATTATTATTCGTTTGTACCAAGTTCGAACGAAACCCTCTCATTTGTTTCTTTTTTTTTTTATTTTATACACGAGAGTATGCTACTCAACAAAAAAAAAAGTAGAAGAAGAAGAAGAAGAAGAAGAATCGTGCATTGTTTTAATTTAATTTAACATAAATTTGCATTCCTCGAGTTGGTAAGAAAAGTTGGACAGTTCCAAGTGAATTTTCTCCAGCCGCGTCCTTCGAATTCC